GTAGTCCGCCTGGGCCGTAGGAGTGGGCTCCGGGGCGGTCGGCAGGGCGGCGGGGGACGGGGGTGCCGCGAGAGCACCCGACGCGTGGGCCCACAGAGTGGCGCCGTCCTGACGCTGGCTGGTGAGGAAACGTGTGGTCTGGCGCTGCCAGGTACCGAACTCGATCGGGCGTCCCTCAGCATCGAAACGGAGGCGACGGGCCTCCATAGCGGAGCCCATGCTAGAGGCGACTGGAGCACGGCGGAGGCGAAGCTAAGAACGAGGAGGAAAGCTACGGAGGGCTAGGGACGCCAGCGGGGAAAACGACGAGAGACAGTCGGCGAGAAAATAGTCGTGGGGCGGGGCTCTAACCGAACCTAGGTGGCGCTACCAGAGGGAAGAGCGGCTGCCAGCCGCTGAGCCGGGAGCCAAGTGCAGTAGGAATGGCGTGGGACCGGTGCACAGGTGAAGGGGAGAGAGATGCAGTAAGCGCACAGAGTGATGCGGTAAGGGCACGCAGGTGTGCGGGGAGCGCACGCAGGTGTGCGGTAAGCGCACGCTGGTGTGCGGGAAGCGTTGACGGAGGAGGGCGCGCGACAGGCGGAGGGGAGGGCACGCGACGATCTAAGGAGGGCGCGCGACGGTTGAGGAGGGCGCGCGACGATGAGGGAGGGCGCGCGGCGGTCTAAGGAGGGCGCACGACGGTTTTGGAGGGCGCGCAACGGTGGGGGAGGGCGCGCGACAGGCTGGACAGCGCGGGAGGGCGCTAGGCGCGAGGAGGGCGCGGAGGGCGCGGAGGGCGCGAGAGCACGGAGGGCGTGTAGGGCGTGGAGGCTAGTTAAAAAAAAGCGAACGAGGATCTAACCTACTCGTGATACCATCTCAGAATAGGAATGCAACGGAATGAATGAAACTAGGAAGTGTGGAAGTACAAATATGCAACCCTAACAACTGTACTCCCTATTGAGCTACGCACTGTAGCCTACAAGCATAGAATTACATTTGACATGCTCATGCTTACCGTGGACATCAAAAAGTCCTTTGACATGGTTGATCGCGAATTCATGTACACATGTATACGCCATCTCGGCATTCCACAACCATTCATCGCTTGGGCGAAGCTCCTGCACAATGGCGCACATACCCAGATGTTGGTAAACAACCTGGCCGGGCGCCCACTCCCAGTTCTCTCTGGTGTACGTCAAGGCTGCCCCTTGGCTCCCCTCCTCTTCATCTGTGTCATTGAAGTGCTACACCGACACCTCTCTGTCTACCTCCCCGGCTTCACCTTCGCCCCAGCCCAGCGTCGGTTGGCAGCATGCTACGCTGACGATATGTCCCTATTCCTCAATTATGGAGAAGAACTGCAGTCAGCCATGCATCACTTACAGTCCTTCGCAGAAGTGTCCGGCGAGCATGCTAATTGGGCCAAATGCTCCATTCATCTTATAAATATCCCGGCAACCACATTACCGCCTGACTGCCCCATCCCTGTTCGCCAACATAACAAGGCAGAAAGGATCCTGGGTATATACGTCCAAAACGATAACCCTGGAGCTGCCACATGGGATATAGCTCTTACCAAGGTCAAAGCTACTGCTTCCTTTCTAGCAAAGATACACGCCATATCCACATGTCGTTCTGCCCTTTCCTCCGAACGGCTCGTGTCCCTCTTCGGTTATGGCGGACGCTTTCAACCTCCTCCTGATAAAGCATCCAAATACAAAGAGGAAGGCATGGCTATGAGATTCATCCCCGACCGCATATTATTTAAAGCGACGGTGCACATTTGCCACCCAAAACCCATAACCCTGGCGAACTGTTACTGCGGATGGAAAGTGTCCGCACGAAATCCTGGTTTTCGCCAGCCAGCACTTTCGCGCTGGCAAGCCTGGTTAAAAAAAAAAACTTCTGAACCCAACACTGCCAAAAGTTGCCCGTCGCTTTAATACAAGGCGGGATGGAGGCGTCGGCGCTATAAAATCCTCCCCCTACTTACAGGCCCTGCAGGTCCAACGAGCTGCCAGTCGCTTTGGCCCCACCCCCCTGGAAGATATTGCACGATCATGCTCACCGCTCCCCTTTGGCCTCCATTGCTTCCTCGCGCAGAAAGACATCCTGAAATTCCTACCTGAACATCTGCCGGCGCGGGCCGTCGCGGAGCTAAAAGCAGTCCTTGAACTACCCTGTGCTATCCACCCTCCCCGACTTGAACCATGGGTACTGATGGCGGAGCCCATCGCCTTCAACAGACTCATTAAAAGGAAAGATGGCCTTTCCTTTGGACGCACTAAAGGAGACAAGTTCTTACTAACACAAGAAGTTCGAGTGGGCAACATCCTTCACCGCACACCAACTGGTGCTCGCGAGCTCTCCGAAGACGAGATTCTCTCCAAATACCCCACCACGGACTTTCCGGGGGGGCGCACTCTCCTTAAAGCCATATACAAAGCCATACCCGACGAATGGTGGACAGTACTCCGCTCCTTTATTCCATCCTCATCCTACCTAACAGTGGACGACTGGGTTATACGGGCGAGACAGACAGCAGGGACAGAGCGACGGGTGTTACAGGTCCGCGAACTACTCTCCAACGGCACGGCTCGTCTCTGCAGCTTCGAGGTCGACGAATGCCGCCGAGTAGCCGCCACCTCCTCTGGAAGCTGTATATGTCACGTTAACGAAAATCATCCCCGTATACGTAACAAACGGCTGATATGCTGGGACTCTCTGCTCCGATGCCGGTCTAGGCAGCAGACTCGACTTTCTCCAACACGCCACCTCGCTAGCCAGCCTCAGACGCCTAAGCTACTCGGCTCTGCCGCTGAACCACCTCGACAGATGGAACGAGATTCTTCCCTCTCCGCTCACCGCCCTACCCTCCTTGAAGCAACCATTTTTACGGGAACAGCCCAGTCGACAAAGAGACGTGCTACTTCAACTATACACGCTGTCTCTCTCGTGTGGTGCGTGATTTCGCTTCTCGGCCTCTGGAAACATCTGCCCGTGCTGCTCCAACGACCGCGTCGAGACCCTCACCCATATCTTCACAGAATGTGGAAACGCTCCTACCATCACAACGGCACTTCAACGTGCTGCGAAAGACCATCTTGGTGTCTCAATCTCAGCAGAAATGTCACTATTTCCTCTCAACTCATCGGCCGGGAGCTGTGCCCCATGGAGCCTACTAGTGGGAGCTGTTGCTAAAACTCTATGGAACGAGAGGTGTTCAGAAATCTATGACAACGCACGCTCATCTGAGATATCAACCCTACATAGGGTGCTCGCCACCTTCCTCATGGCATGCAAAATCTTCTTCGCCAAGAGAAGCAAGCAGGTGGCCAAGAAACAACGCGGCACGGCCTCACGAGTCAAATACGGGACGACGAAACAACTACTGCATTTCAACTCTGAGGACGCCCCTGACATTCACCCTGACCTGAGACGTACCTGGCTGAGAAGGGAAAATTTCCATCCCCCGTAAAGTCTGAACCCCTCACTCGAATAGTGTTGGACTGGCGGAGATTTACACTCCCCTGTTTGCATAGGCAAAACAGTCAAGCGTCGTAGGCGCATACCTCTTAGGTATCGGGATAGAGCCCGTTCACTGTTCCAACACTGTATGTATGGTTACGACCATTCAATAAAACTTAAAACTTAAAAGTGAACCTCCAAGTAGGGGAGCGCCTGGCTTTTCTCAGCAGCAAGCTGGTCTGCCCGTACTGCGGAGACACGGAGACGCTGTAACATTGCTTGATGCTCTGCCCCAAAATTCAAGTGGTGTCCACTGCTCTTCGGCGCGCTCTGAGCATGCTCAACCCTGGCCGCGTGACGGACTCGTTGAGGGACCTACTGTTCCGAGATATGGGCACCGGCTCGGCTTTTCCGGAGCTGACGTTAACGTCTATTACACTGCACCAACTGTGGCTTGAACGGTGTGATGTCGTTTTCAGAGGAAAGAAGTTCGGAACGCAACGTACGAAGGATTGAGATGGCTTTCCGGCAGCATGTGAAACTGTACACCCATCATTTCGGGTCGGCGTGGCGAAAACAGAGGCGGCGATACACATCGGAGGAGTGAGACATGCTGAGGAGGATAAAAACAGATGGTACCAAGCTGAAGTGGACAAATGGATTTGCGGCACTTTGGTCGGCGCGGAGGGCACGTAATGTCAGGCCCTAAAAGAACCTTATCTGGAGGAAGAGGTCACTCTGACTCCTCACGCACGGTTACGACCGTTCTTGCTTGTGTACACTTGCCCTTCGGTGTATACTTGCAATTATCATAAAAAAAAAAAAGATGTAACCATGACTGAAGCTGCGAGATCGAAGCATCCATTGTTACGGGTTCTAATCACGATGGCGACTACCGACAGCGTCAACCAATGGCGGACCATAATGGTGCGCATCAGCCAATCCGCGCGGCGCTGCCACGCAAATCTCTAGAAGCTCACTGTCGTCAAGAAGGAGCTGTTTCTGTTGGTAGCTCCACACCACAGAGCAGCCACCACCTCTTTCTGTGGGACGTCTTGCTCCGCTGATCGGTCAGTTCGATTGAGTAGGTTTCAACGCGGTACAGTACGGTTACTGCAATGACGTTATTTGCACCGCAACTCACCGGATCAAATCGTGGTGGATGAACTGGAAAAAACGCGGGAATTTTTTGTTCCCTTGTCAATTGACCTCCTGGAATTGATTCCAAGCTCTGATCTCAGCAACAGAGTCTCTGACTCTCCATGCTTGGATCTGAGCAAGTAATCACAACAGCGTATACTGTGTGGTGCAACTACAGCTTGGTCACGCCCGTTGGCCTTCTAGGCTCATTGTAGGTTGACTGGCGTCCTGGCAGATAGGGGTCTGACGATATATGTTGACCAGGACGATCAGCACAAGCAAGACCTGACATTTTTGGAAATTCGGCAGACACAGGTTGTGAAACAGCGGGACTGTGACAGCTGTAGGTTACGAAAATCGGGTTTCGGGTTCAGGCCTACTGCTTCCGCTGTCGCCGTTCTGTCGCAATGGCCTCGTTTCGAGGATCACTGCTGCTGCTAGCAGGTTGCTTGCTCCTGGCGCTTCAATGCTGTTGTGCAAGGTGTGTGCCACTATCTTTCGTCACGCGCTGTCAGCTCAAACGTATCATTGGTGGCCGATCACTCTACTTCTGTTGCTGATTATCGCTACCATCAATGCACAAGCGATCATTACGAATACCCCAATTCCAAAGCTATCTTTGTCTTATTTTAAATTTGCGGATTCCTGGCATGCCATCCTTATGTGTCTCCTCCATGTGCCGTCGCGCGTTTTCTTATTCGACAATTTGTGTTTCTTCCTGTGGATTGTGATTCGCTTGGTTGCCAATCTCGCGATCGATGCTCCTATGAACCGGACGGCGCAGTCGCAATTACTATGATATTCTCCAGGTAAGGTTTACGAGAACTGCAAAGGTGGTGTCTTGTGCGCTGGTTGCATGTAGTTGCATTGTTTAACAGCAAGGCTACACGAATTCCACTGCGATCGAAGGCGATGTATCAGCTTCTAAATCCACAGTATTTCTAAATGAGGTTACGAAGGTCACGCGAACGATCATTTACTCGTCGAAGCTGATTCTGCTTGCCGAAACCGTTAAACAAACAGATTTTGTGTGACGATTTTGTCATGCTGACAACGAGGAAGAGAGCATGACAATCACGTTGTAATTGTCCCCTTGAATCCCGTGCAGGTGCCGCGATCGGCCAGCGAGGATCAGATCAAGCGCGCGTACCGCAAGCTAGCGCTCAAGTTCCACCCGGACAAGAACCCCGGAGATGAGGAAGCAAAGAAGCGGTTCCAGGAGATTGGCAACGGTGAGTCGGTCGAGTGACCGAGTCAGGAATCCCTCTAACGAGAAGTCTGTTGAGTCAACTACGATGAGTCTTTCCCTGTCTCTGATGCAATCTCTCCTTCTCCCATCACCTGTTGTAACGTCAGTTTGCTGGCATGAGGCAGGAACCCTGGCTGCGCCATTTTCACCTCTTTCCAACGCAGTCTCTCCCGCTCTCATCATCTGTTTGTGCTCGCCATCCCACCCACTCACTTACGTTTCATTGCTCGCGTATCCTATCGTCCCCTTATTCCTCCAGCGTACGAGGTCCTCTCAGACGGTGAGAAGCGGCGCATCTACGACCAGCACGGCGAGGAGGGCGTGAAGCAGCACAGCGAATCCTTCGTTCTCCGCACCTGAACTCCCACGTTTCCCTCCATTTTCCCCTTTCCTTTCCCTATGCTCCAGCATATGAGGTTCTCTCAGACGGTGAGAAGCGGCGGATCTACGACCAGCACGGCGAGGAGGGCGTGAAGCAGCACAGCGCTCAGCAAGCAGCTGGGGGTGGCCAGGACATCTTCTCACAGTACGTTCAACGACAGATGTTTTTCTTGGAAGGAAATGTTGCCAGGCCCAGGGAAGATCGATGCTATTGTGTTAAGGAAGGGAGGTGTTGCTATGCATACATGAGGAGCAGGCCGGAGGACTAGGGGGCTTTGATCAGGCCATCTTCTCGCAGTACATGCACTCCGGCATGGAATGGGGTTTTTGCAAGGGAAGAGCTCGATGCTTAAAGAGGCGTTTTTATGCAGGCATCTTGTCTCATAGCTCTGCTCTGTGACATGCTCCTTTCCCATGGCAGATTCTTTGGCGGGTTTGGAGGGTTCGGGCAGCAGCAGGAGGAGGAAGAGCAGACCCCAAAGGGCGACACAGTCACAGTGGACCTCGAGGCGTCGCTAGAGGACCTGTACAACGGCAGGTCGTTTCAGGTGGGTGAAACTGCTAGAATTTGCACGTCTCACGTATTACTATGAATGAACCTGGACAGTCAATAGGGAGATACAGTCACAGTGGACCTGGAGGCGTTGCTAGAGGACCTGTACAATGGCAGGTCGTTCCAGGTGAGTCCCACTAGAGTATTCGCTGTTCCAGGTGGGTGGGATGTGACTTGGTTTATTATGAATCTGGAGACTTTGAAGGGAGATGCAGTCACAATGGACCTGGAGGCGTCGCTGGAAGACCTTTACAACGGCAGGTCGTTCCAGGTGGGCTGGATTAGATCGTGCGATGTATGGCGCATATGAAGATGCCTCCTGGATGGTTACTGTGGTTGTGTGGGTCTCGAGGCGTCGCTGGAAGACCTGTACAATGACAGGTCGTGTCAGGTGGGTTTCGCTAGAATGCGGATGGGACGGTTCACGTTTACACTGAACCTGGACACTTAACAGGGAGATGCAGCAGTCACGGTTGACTTGGAGGCGTCGCTGGAAGACCTGTACAACAGCAGGTCGTCGTCGTTCCAGGTGGGTCCCATTAGAATGCGGACGGGACGGTTCACGTTGACACTGAACCTGGAAACTCAATAGGGTGATGCAGTCACAGTGGACTTAAAGGCGTGCCCCTTCTTGCGATGGTGGAGCTGAATCTAATCGAACGTTCATATTCCCATCCTTCTCGCCCTTTCTTCCCTCGCGTTCCTGTCCATTTGCTCCCCCTCAGGTGTGGCGAGACAAGAACGTGGTGCGATCGGCGCCCGGCAAGCGCAAGTGCAACTGCAAGGCGCGCATGGTGACGAGGCAGATCGCCCCGGGCATGTTCCAGCAGTTCACCCAGCAGGTAGGACAATAGGGCAGAGCGTGGGCGGGTGGGTGAAGAGGCGAGCAGATGATTGGGCGGATGTCACGTGTCGGTGAGTCGGTTGGTGCCAAACAAGCGCATCATCAAAAGTACAAGGCTCGGATGGTGACGAGGCAAATCGCCCCGGGCATGTTCCAGCAGTTCACGCAGCAGGTGGGTGGGTGGGTACATACAGTAGGGTGGGCGAGTAGGTGCATTAAGGATAAAATCGGTGTGCGACTGGGTCCGGGCACAGAGGCACACAGAAGCGCATCAGTGCACATGCAGGGAGGGAGGATGGTGACGAGGCAGGTCGCCCCGGGCATGTTCCAGTTCACGCAGCAGGTGGGTGTGTGGGAGCTTCTATAACTTAGATGGGCGGTTGCATGCGGTAGGTGAGTGAGTAGGCGGTATTCACGACGCCATGCCCAACAATGTGTTGTGTACATGGCTTGCTTTCAATTTCAACAGCCGTCCAACCCTCCTGTGTCATTGCTCTGTTGTCATCCTTCCTCATACCATGCTCCACCCCATCTGCGCCCTACAGGAATGTCAGGAGTGCCCGAACGTGAAGTACGAGCGCGAGGGCATGCCCATCGACGTGGACATTGAGAAGGGCATGAAGGACGGGCAGGTGAGATGATGCACACGGGCAGGTGAAAAGGGCGGGAAAATATTGGGGAAGATCAGAAACAAAGAGAGGCACGTGGCCAGATGAGCACAAAACGTGCAAATAGCTGAGCAAGACATGTGCAAGCAGGCGAGCAGATGCAAGCTGGTGAGCAGATGCAAGCTAGTGAGCAAGAAACAAATTATCAAGTGGAAGAGGTGAGACATAGTGATGGGTGTCTGCAAAGGAGGGTCGCATATTTTCTTCATTTTGTTATCGACTTCAGCCTTGTTATCGACTGAAAGTTCTGTCAAACACGTTTAATATCGGATCAAGACGTACCTCCATGCCTCACCCTGGTACTTGGCCCATTTCCCTCTCCAATGTGTACACACTACCTAAGAAGGTGTTTCTGACTCGTTTGTTCCACCATTGTGCCTCCTCCATTTTGTACTACACCAACATTCAACTTCTTCGGAGGCACCTGGGGAATCCCATTAGCCGTTTCTCGCCTATGTGACTCACTCACTTGCTCTTTCCTTTCTATCGTATGACACACTCGACCCATATTCATTTACCTTTTACAGGAAGTCACCTTCTATGAGGAGGGAGAGCCCGTCATGGATGGCGACCCGCCCACCCATCACTCTCCCATGTATCCCTCCCCTCCCCCCATGTATGTGTGCTGCGATAACACCTGTCTGTCTGTGTGCGTGCAGGAGATCACCTTCTACGAGGAGGGAGAGCCCGTCATGGATGGCGATCCTGGTGACCTCAAGGTGTGTGCCTATCTCCCATCCTCTGCTGCCTCCCTCACTCACTCACACTCATCCACTAGCATTGCCCCCCACACACACGCACACTTCCTTCCTGCTCTTCCGATTCCTTCCCCACCGCACTTCCATTTTTCCCCCCACCGTTTTGTCTTCCTTTCTGTTTTCTTCCACAGTTTCTGTTCCCTAACGACTTGTCCCTCGTATTTCTACCTCTTCCTCCTCCCAATTCTCCTCCCCATTCCCACCCCTACCACCCGGCTGCCGAGTGAAGGTAGCCAGGTGACGGCCCGTCCGAGCACACGTGCAGTGTGTCACGCGCTCGTAGGCAGGGGTGAACTGGTGGACACCCCCGTCCTGGAGCGCACTACCCGCCACCAAGTTCGTAGAGAAAGAGGGGAGGTAGAGACCTGACAGTGTGCCCGACGGGACCACAGGACAAGGGAGAACAGTAGAGGAGGTCGCAATGACCGGACCCCCAGAGGGGTCAGCGAGGGAGACTGCAACCGGCCGAGCAAGCTGCTCAAGGGCAGTGCGGTCACGAAAGAAACAGCGGGAAGCGCTTGACGAGAGCCGTGTAGACTTGACGAGCACCTGTTTAAGCAACATAAATGCTCTCCTTCTTGCCTGTCTTGCCTTGCCCATCATGCCTTGCAGTTGGTGATCAAGACGCGGCCGCACAAGCAGTTTGAACGGAGAGGGGACGACCTCCACATGAACCTCACCATCTCCCTCGTACGTTGCTACCTGAACCTCACTGTCTCGCTCGTATGTTTGCACACCACTTACTGTTTTCAAGTTTTAAGGCACCTCAAAAGTCACAAGCAGTTTGAGTGGAGAGGGGACGACCTCCACATGAACCTCACCATCTCCCTCGTACGTTTCAACAATTGGACCTTACCGTTTCTCATGTACGTTGCTACCTGAACCTCGCAACGTCATTCTTGTTTGTCTTCACACTGCATCTCGTCACTGCTCCTTTAGCCACGTTATATCTATGCCACATATTTAGTAAAGAGTGTCCGCACATTTCTTTCGAAGTAGAGGCTAACCTTGTGACATGTTCACCCACATGCTCCTATGTGTCCCATTGTGCCGTCGTGTAACCCCAAACGCATCATTTTATCCCATGCCGGCAGATGGATGCTCTCGTGGGCTTCAACCACCCCATCACTCACCTTGACAACCCTTTGCTCCCATTCCTGCATTCCCTTATGCTCCACTCCCATGCCCTCCCTTTACCCTGCCGTGTGTTGACTTGGACTAGTGACTCACCTCGACAACCCTTTGCTCCTATTCTTGTATTGCCTTCTCCTCCACTCACCTCCCACTCCCATGCTTTCAGGTGGATGCTCTCGTGGGCTTTAAGCACTCCATCACTCACCTCGACAATCACCTCGTGGAAATCGGCACCTCTGTAAGTGTTACCAGAATCGGTATGTGTAACTGTAACCAGGCATATATAAATCTGCCAGTGCTCAGGGCTGGGACAATTGAAGTGTTGCTAGACATGTGAGTCTACTCAAAGCCACACACTCCACTCCCTCACTGCCTTACTCCCACACTCCCTCACCACCAAGAATGGAGTCCTCTACTGCAGTTCACTGTAGACTTCCCCAGTCTCTTCCTCCCCTCATTTTCTCGTTCACTCCTGGTCTCCTCCCCCTTTCCACACCCCACCCCCACCCTCCCTCCCTTGTATAATCACCTCCATTGCAGGGTGTCACGCGGCCAGGGGAGGTGCGGAAAATAAAGGGCGAGGGCATGCCGATTTACGACACCACCAAAAAGGGAGACTTATACGTGCAGTTCACTGTAGACTTCCCTAAGTCGCTTACAGAGGACCAGAAGGAAGTGGTTCGGAAGACTTTTGGGGCGTCGGGCAGCACGGGCAGCGGCAAACTACATGAGGAATTGTGATTGTTGTCGTTGTCATTGGTGGATTATTTCTCCAAAATCATCCACGCAGGTTGTTGGCCTGTTACTATTGTCTCATGCCTTAGTAATTCGCTATAACACCTTTAGTATACCCATTGCTGCTGCGGAGTAGCACAAGTTGAGTTTGCATATGAATCTTAGCAATGGTTTCTCTAAATATAATGTGTTTCAATGGCAACCCAATCCTCCTTGTGATTCTCAGGGTGATAGGAAGGAAGCGAAGTACAAGGGGTTTAGATTAGTGATACATATTGCCAATTTGGGATGACCTATATTTCCAGTCAGGGATGCCCTTGAAGATAATTTCTTACAAGGTATCTGGCATATACTAGACTTTACTAAATGACTTTCGTGCTCATAGCGAATGTCTGTTTAGCGGGTTTCGTGATTTTCTTTCCTCACCTGGGATACCACGGCAGGTCACAGTGACGCATCTTCCAATTGGTCCTGTTCAGACAACCATAAGTCGATGCTCGTCGGCACTGATTTCACGATGCTATTATCTCTTGATACCCTTGAACGTCTAACAACAAAAGGGCGTGGCAGGATTTAGCGTGGATTCGATAGCGGAACAAGGATCCGCTGCTTTACAGCGAGTCAGCCCCTAGACGAGTCAAAATCCGCGTCGCGAGCTTGCGAGTAATGGGGATCGATAAGCTCGCCGCGGATACAGCCGCAAATACCGCTTCTGACGGCGAGCAGTACCGACGTGGTATTCCCGTGGTGCAGTTCGTTGCTGACGTGGAGGCGTTTCTGGCGGGCAGAAAAAGCGCCAGCTGTCATCCAATCACCGTGATTGACATTCGGATTTGACCCTAGTTGTTTCACAGCTTGACCGCTCTCCTCCGCCGCCCTCCGCCCTCCTCCGCCCTCCTCCGCTGTCCTCCGCCGTCCCCCGCTCTCCTCTGCCGTCCTCCGCCCTCCTCCGCCCTCATCTGCTCTCCTCCGCCGTCCTCCGCCGTCCTCCGCTCTTCTCCGCTCTCTCCGCCCTCCTCCGCGCTCCCCCGCTCTCCTCCGCTCTCATCCGCTCTTCTCCGCTCTCCTCCGCTCTCCTCCACTCTCCTCCGCTCTCCTCCGCCCTCCTCCGCGCTCCCCCGCTCTTCTCCGCTATTCTCCTCTGCTGCTGTTGCCTCAGTTGTCATTTCCTTTCCTGGTTTTGCCTCTTCTGCTTCTGCGTTCCGTGTGTTGTCGAATCTGTTTCTAGGAACTCAGTTTTATAGAGTCAGTTTTCATCATTAAATTTTCCTTCTCTCACTGGTCCGCGCCCATCTCACAGCACTCCACCCATCCCCACCTGTCAGGATGCAGCAATACAAGCTGCTGGAAATCAAGTTGCTGACTCAAGGAAAGACCTGCAGGTACGCATTGCCATAATAGTGGCGCTTATCGAGGATGGGCAACACCATGTTTAGGGTTTCTGCAGCGACGCATGACATATGTGAGGCGTATAAATGTATATAATTGCGTACAAGAGGCACCTGCTGCAGCTCTGTGATGGCATATTGCTGTTTCCGCATTAAAAAATCACACGATAGGGAGGGCCTGTAGAGACACCTACTACAGGAGGTGGTTGGTTATCATCAATGCGTAGGGAGGAGGTGCGTTTGGGCATTCATGTATAACCCTGTGGCGTCTGGTCTGGATTAGTACTTAATGATTGGAGTGTTCCAAACGTATGCCTTCTATTCGCAGCGTTATTCCAGTAATAACTCTCCGGATGTAACAAACGCAGAAGATTACAAAGATTGCTTTCTGGTTTGATTCTTTCTGGTTTTGGCTCGTTGCAGTTACCAGTGCTTTATCATGTGTTCCTTCTCCTTGCTTCCTCTGCTCTTCCCCTTATAATGCTCGCGGTTTGAAGGGTGAAGGGTGTTTGCCCGAGCAGACGTGAAGGGTGCTTTTGACTCGGATGTGAATCTTCCCTCTTTCCCCTCTTCTTCACTTCCTCTTCTTCCCCATTCATTCCGGCTGGCAGCAAGTGCGTCTGGACTACGTGTTGGCGGATGGGGTGTTCGCCCGAGCAGATGTGAAAAATGTTGACTCGGTGTGCCTGTGGCTGGGGCCGAATGTCATGGTGGAGTAACCCCTTCGATGAGGTCAGCATGACGTCACTGTGTGGAATGCACTCACGTGTGTGAGTGGAATGGATGCAGCACGACGCAAGTGTGAAGTGAAGGATGTTGACTTGGTGTTTTCTGTGGCTGGGAAAAATGAAATGGTCGAATGCCCTTTTGATGAGGTCAATGCAATAGCATGCACGCACATGTGTGTGTGAGTGCACGCATCGAGGTGTGAAGGGAAGGATGCGAACTTGGTGTGCCTGTGGCTGGCTGGGGGCGAATATGATGGGTGGAATACCTTTTGATGAGGTGAGTGTGGGTCAGCATGAGGTCAGTCAGCATGATAAGAGCATGTGGTATCAGCATGTGAAGTTGGCATGTGCAGGCAGCACAAGGGAGAGCTTGGAAACAAGCAGGGAAAACATGCACATGTGTGAGCGAGCGAGCTCATGCAACGCAATGCAAGTGTGGCCAGTGAAGCATGCAGTCGTGGAGGATTCGTATCCTGGGTGCATGTGTACGGGGGCAACCGTGATGGTTGACTCTTTCATTGACGTCAGCATGATGTCAGCAGCATGTCGGTTGGTTTTATGGCAGCATTATTGCCCGCGAGCGATGTAATAATCATGCATGTCGTGACGGATGCCGACTTGGTGTGTTTATGTGCCTGTTGGGTCAAGAACGTGTTGATATGGAATATGTGATGACATCGTGCATGCTTGCATGCTTGACATGCGTGCATCATGACGTTATCATGTGAAGGAAGGATAGGTTTCGATGTGGCGATGGAAGGGCGCGTAAAGAACTTGGAGATGTAATTACATGGCGATGATGGGATGGGAGTGCACTCTTTGATGATATCAGCATTGTGCCATGATGATGTCAGCATGTTGCCATCATGTCAACATCATGCCATGATGATATCCACCCAGGATGGAGCTTTTAGAAGTGGGATTCGATCAATTAACTGTTAAACACTACTCGCGTGCTTGTGGTCAGTCCACTCGCCGTCTCCCAATTTCACCCCAATTTCACCCGTGTAACCAGGCTTTGGCTCTCCTGGCATGCAATGAGGAGAATGCCACAAGCAGCCTCGTTGCCATGGATGGCGACCTGCTGTTCGTGTGAGATCAGATCAACATCACCGACGTGAAGTGTTATCATCAGGTCATTAAAAGCATATCTGGTTTCCAGATTATCACATATGGTTTCCAAATATCACATCTGGTTTTCAAATTATCACGTCTGGATTTCCAAAATTTCACATCTGGTTTCCAAATTATCACATCTGGTTTCCACATTATCACATCTGGTTTCCAGATTATCACATCTGGCTTCCAACTTTCCACATCTGGTTTTCCAATTATCGCGTCTGGTGTTCATAATATCACATCTGGTGTCCATGTCATCACATTTGGTGTCCATAATATCACATATAGTTTCCAAATGATCACATCTGGTTTCCAAAATGATCACATCTGGTTTCCAATTTATTACATCTGGTTCCCCAAATATCGCATCTGGTGTCCATGATATCGCTTCTGCTGTTCATCACATCTGCTGTTCATCACATCGGGTATCCATGTCATCACAGAGGTGCATACAGTATTTCCATCTTGCCATATCAATGTCCATATTGTCACAGTTACATATGGTACTTTGATGGCATCACATATTGTGGTACTAGTGACTGTACACACAATGTCAACATTGCTCAAAGAAGAATGAATATTGTTAGAGGGCATACAGGATGGTACATAACTGTACTTTGACAAACACATGATCATATTTAGTGGCACAAACGTCGGTATCTCCATGTTATCACATCTAATGCAACCGATGACTGCATTGAGGGTACAGAAGTGAATGCGCACAAGCAAAGGGTGTTCTGTATTGTGACTATAACGAGGGTACACATTTATATGTGGTGCAAGGCGCCCCGTCTGAACCTCATTAAGAGTGTTTTATTCCATTGCATGTGCCATCCCAATCGCGCATAACTTTTTTCTGTTTCTGTAAACCTTACCCCACCCCCCCCCCCCCCCCCCCCCCCCTTTTTTTCTCTCTCACTCTTCTTTTTTTCCGCAGGTGACTGTACCGAGGGTGCACAGTTGGGACGCTTAGCACAGAAGAGCAGCCGGAGCTGGAACCAGTGCCAGTGCGTTGAGGGAGGAGATAGCTGCCTGAAATTACTATTAGCCCGTATTTGCCAAAAGAAAAACAGTACTCTGTGCAAACTTTTTACTCTATATATTGCTGGAGGGCAGCATGTACCTGAGTAATTAGGGTATACCGTACCTGTATCAACCTTGGTAGATAAATGGTGGAGTTAGAGTGTGTTCCTACGGGCCCCTATCAGGCCAGCCCCTTGTCAGACTCGCCTCAAACACCAGAATTTCAGATTAAACGCATTTTGTATTAGACGTTTTGATCGTTTGTGAAGTGCGCGACAAAATGCGTTGGGTGACGTGGCACTGCGCAACGGTCCCGAAAGGTTGCAAAGGAAAAAAATTCCGAGTTCAGACAAATTCCAGACGATTGAAACGTGTTCGGCGGAAAAGTCTTTGTATGTTTCATACCCGACAAAACAGCATGTGTGAAGAATTTCGCGCGATTCACTGACCATGGCTCGCTGAAACAGCACCTTCGAAAGATTTCGCGCGATTGGTTGACAAGGGTAACTGAACAGCACGTGTCAAAGATTTCGCTCGACCAATTCATCGAACAGCATTGTAATTTTTCAAGTCTGGAAAACGGTGTTAATAACGAAATCGCTCGCATGCACCAGCCTCATCGCAAAAATCAGGGTTAGGGTTTCGATAGCGTTTTTTTCGTCGCGCGAACAGTAGCCTAGTTCGTCCGCGCGTTTCGTTGTTAGAAATATACCAAACTGTATACATCGTTTTTGTGGTATGCTATTACATATTAAGAGCATGCAAATTTTTTGTCAAATGTATTTTACAACAACATTAAAACAAAATAACTCACTTTTAAAACCAGAAGCAGTCTTGAATCATAACCTCCAATCAAAATCACTTTAAAGCAATTACCTTCTCAGTTAATCAAATAAATAATCATTTACCAGAAAGGTTCCCCGCCTTTTAAACGACTCGACGATATGGACAGCACGAAAGATTGAATCTACTTCCACGACATCCCGATATAACCTTGGCTTACCCGGGAACTTGGCCCACTTAAGAGCCTTGCAGCCTGTCACCTCATCATCCTGAGCCACCTCATAGTACTGGACGTATGCAAACCCCTTGCTACTCTGCGAGTGTTTGAATAGGAGCAAGACCTCGGCGTACCATATCTCATCCTTGTCCCCCAGTCGTTTCAGCCTTGTAGAAGCAGGGAGACAAAGGGCATGAGCGGGGAGTTTGAGGTTCAACCAACTAGTGCATTGGTGGGGTGATACACGTATTAGACAAAGCAAATAAAGGTTGACACTTACCTAAAAAAATGCGCAATTGTAGTCCCGCTCTTCAGCAATATCGCTTTCCACGTGTGCTAGCATCAAGAGGAATTGATTACTCGACAATAGACTCTGCCCATTGTCGCCGATTCGAAGCACGGTAGGGCCGTTTCCCCGTTACTTTGTGAAAGTGCTCGTACATGTTTGTAGAATATTCCTCTGGCAACCCCCCCCTACGAATTGCATCACAATAGTGCACTACCATGTGCACTTTGACAACCTTCCAGGCCGAACCCTGAGTTGGAAAGGCAACCTTTAGCTTTTCTATCATCCTGTGAGGGAGGGGACGAGGTGAGGGAGGAGGGAAGAAGGGTAGGAGAAGGCCTTAAAAAGGGTTGTGGGTGGGAAGCGCCGATAAAAGAATGAGATCCGTCTGTGCATGGTGCTTCACGTACTTGTGTGACAGGCGCTCGACACGGGCAAGACTCTCGTCTGTGTGGTACCGTGGCCGAAATGTCGCCTTGTACCAACGCAGAAACGCCATCACTGCTTGTAAATGTACATCGTCGACGAGACCTTCCAGGATGAAAACAGAGACCTGCATCACCGCTCTATGTTCTGCTGCCGATACCCGAGCTCCAGATTGAAAGTAGGTGCCAGGAACGGGCAGGTTCAGCCCAGCAATACGACCGTTTTTCCATAACCATTTCATCCGTCTGGTTGTGGAAAGGGGTTGAATAAAGACATCAGTCACGAGAAAGGAAGGGGGGAAGGGGGGTTATGGAGGAATCGGAAGGGATGTTGAGGTAGTGTTGCTGGCCAGAGAAGGGAAGGGGGGGTATGGAGGAATGGGAAGGGATGTTGAGGTGGTGTTGCTGGCCAGAGAAGGGAAGGGGGGTTATGGAGGAATGGGAAGGGATGTTGAGGTGGTGTTGCTGGCCAGAGAAGGGAAGGGGGGGTATGGAGGAATGGGAAGGGATGTTGAGGTGGTGTTGCTGGCCAGAGAAGGGAAGGGGGGGTATGGAGGAATGGGAAGGGATGTTGAGGTGGTGTTGCTGGCCAGAGAAGGGAAGGGGGGGTATGGAGGAATGGGAAGGGATGTTGAGGTGGTGTTGCTGGCCAGAGAAGGGAAGGGGGGGTATGGAGGAATGGGAAGGGAGGTTGAGGTGGTGTTGCTGGCCAGAGAAGGGGGGGAAGTCAGAATTTGCGCATTCCAACCTTGGCACCTTTAGCACGAACAGAGAGAAATGGTAGCGCACCAAGGTCGGAATGCGCAGATTCAACGACAGAACAAGGGACCCTGGTTTGGTAACTCAAACCAGGTAGGATTCGGGAGAGTGCGCGTGATGCATTTCAACAACAACATTTCATAATAGCACTTACTCGTCTAGCTTGCCGTTCTTTGCGTTGTCGAGGGTGGCTATGGCGTCACGAATGTGCATCCACACCCCAACGTCCGCCTGGTGAAGGACATCAGGCATGAGCGCCAGGTATGGGTTACCCCATGGTGTGTCGGCGTAATTGAAGTCCCAAATGAATGTCTGCAGTGGGGTTTGGGTTCCTTGGTCAGGTTGAAACTTGTAAAATAAAAGGACAAAAAAAAAAAAAAAAAAAAAAATAGGGAAGGCAGTGAACGTACGTGAAAAGGGAATGAGGCCCACAGCGCGGCATAATCCTTAGCCAAAGTCTTCCCTGCTTGGTATAACAACTTGTATTTATCCCGCAAAAACCGTTGCTCCTTTGGGTTCCTCGACTTGAATTTTTTAGTCAAGTTGTCACACTCGGCTCCCAACGCATAACACATAGAGCACGGCCGGTTGCTACCGTGCTGGAATGTGCTTGTTACCTTGCAGCTTTCCGGGTAGTCGCAAGGATAGCTATAGAACAATGGCCTCACAAGCCGTTTGACCCCTGATGGGTCAGACCACATACAACTTACTTCACTGCAGGGAGGCACAAGACTTTGTCAATGTACTGGTATTCTGACACTAACGAAAATCTAGGGAGTGCTGTTCAAAAACTGACCTGTTGCTGGCATCGATGAGTGGCTGGAGGACGATCTGCATGCACTTCAAAAACAGCTCCGTCTTGACGTTGCCTTTCCATTTCGAATGAGGCAGTGGCAGCATTGCCACCATCTGCTTCGCACTCGTTTTCCAACGATGTTCAACAGCGATATTCCCGAGTGAGAGGACAACGGGCCAGACCTTCTGTGTGTCGTTTTTGCTTAGTTGAGTGACGTCCGAGTACACTATGAGCGCAGCAATGACCTCTTCTTTGATACGCAGTGCCTTCTGCCATATTTACACAACAATGTAGTGTGGCAGGAGAGACAACGTAGATGGTGTTTAAGCGGAGGAACCTATGTTGCCAAGCTCACCTATCACACTGACCCTCCCTACACACTCACATCCGAGCTCACCTATCACACTGACCCTCCCTACACACTCACATCCGAGCTCACCTATCACACTGACCCTCCCTACACACTCACATCCGAGCTCACCTGTGACACTGACCCTCCCTACACACTCACATCCGAGCTCACCTATCACACTGACCCTCCCTACACACTCACATCCGAGCTCACCTATCACACTGACCCTCCCTACACACTCACATCCGAGCTCACCTATCACACTGACCCTCCCTACACACTCACATCCGAGCTCACCTATCACACTGACCCTCCCTACACACTCACATCCGAGCCCACCTGTCACTCTGACCCTCCCTACACACTCACATCCGAGCTCACCTGTCACTCTCACATCCGAGATTCCAGAGCACTACACACTCACATCCGAGATTCCAGAGCACTACACACTCACATCCGAGATTCCAGAGCACTACACACTCACATCCGAGATTCCAGAGCACTACACACTCACATCCGAGCCCTGAATACAGCCCTTACCGTCGCCTTTCACTCACCTGGGCCTCGAGCCACCAGTTGCAATGTTGGGGCCGTGTATAAATCCTTTTCCCATTGCGTTTTTTTATGCTCGGGTACAGCGCGAATCCTTTTTGGTTGCACCGGTCTTCAAAAATCGCCTGCACCACCTGGAAAACACGGGATGAAGGGATGTGGACTGGATTTGGTTTTGTTGATGTAAAAGAAATACGATAAATGATCATAAAGTCACCACCAAATAGATTCTCTGTAGTGAAAGAGCTTCACTGCCCGTGACCTACCTTGAGGGTGTCCGTGTATTTCAAGGGCACATAGGCGGGTCGGCCATTCTCCAACACCCCTGGGGCCTCGACCATTGTCGTCTTCCACTCAGGCGCTTTTGCGCCCCACTTGTCCGCAGCCCACTTTTGCGCATCCTTGATGCTCCGCCAGCCTTGGAGATCCTCGGAGTTGAAGTCTGGGTGGCATACGACCCGCAAAAACCGTTTGCTCTCTTCAACGGTCATGCCCTGCCCTTCACGGAAGCTTTGCATCAGTAACAGCAGCTCTTTTTGTGTGTCGAAGATTCCAGGCCCGAAATCGAAGTCAATCGGCTCTTGAGAGGCGTCGGGCTGAAAGGCGATTTGCTCTTGCTCATTCGTTGGCGCATCAAAGTGTGGCGCGGTAGTGTGA